AAGCCTCTCCGCCAGGTTCAGGGTCTCCTCGTTTTTTTAAAAGACGTTTTTACCAGCTCCTGGTGCTCACCGCTGACTGCCTGGGCGTGAATCCAATTCAAGTGGTGGGAGTCCATGCTATTTCACACTTTCCCTTTCTCCCTTCGAGACCGAAATTCCAACCTAACTTTCCCTCCCCCCCCAAATATCAGTGTGTAAGTCCCGGATTAACCATTCGAGATGACCTGTAACTCTCATAAACAGTGTGTGAATAATTACAAGGTTGTTGGTAGTATGGGAAGTAGAAATCGGATTTTATTTTTAACTTATCTTTAAGGCATGGATACATTTAAGACTAATTTTTTTGTGGGTTTTTCGTTTTTGGTTTTTTTTTTTGAGTGGAGAACTCAAACCTTTATTTGTGCTGTAGTAAAGAAGAAAAATGATTTGTAATTATGTACATGATACAACAGAACTAGTTCTTTCTATACAGAGCAATATGCAAGTTCTTTTAACCACCTGCTTTTGCAGTTTTAAGTTCACAACAGCATACTCGAGCCTAATTCCCCACATGTATATGTCTCATACCCTTTGTTTTTTGTTTTTTTTTTTAAAGATTTTTATTGGGGAAATGGGGGGATGGGAACAGCGGTGGGAATTGGGAGGAAGGGGAACAGACAAGTTGCTGTTGTCTTGTTCTTCAGTCAGTTGTGGAGGACGTCGCCTCACTGACCCAACTTGGCACCATCATTGCGCTCTTCCCGGGCGAGGCAGATCAGTCGCCGGCTTCTGGACGGCCGCTCACGCTGGCTGCTGGCTACATACGGTAGCCCATGGCAACACACTGCCACAGGGGCTGCAGCCTACACCGTCGCCAGCGACTCACGGCAGCCCAGCTCCAGGTTGAGCTGTTGTTCAGCATCTTAGCTGTAGAGGGCAGTGTCACTGGCCCTCATATGTGGGATCCGAACCGGGGCCCTCTGGCGTCCCAAGCCAGTTCTTAACCATCGCGCCACTCTGCCGACCCTGTCTAATACCCTTTGAATTCCAATGATAGTACATGTATTTTGCCCAGGTCACTAGTTAAGAATTGAACTATTATGCCAACATGTTTTTAAACATCATAAAAAGCAGCAGAAGACACAAAAATCCCAAGGGCAAAGTATTGAGGATTAAAAAATTTTAAAGTAAAATTTAAGGGGAAGAAGGACATGATAAAACACCAGGGTAATACTTTCCAATTCAATAGATGCATCTCAGGAGCAAGTATGTATTAGCATAAAGTGTTTTCAGATCTTTCCCTGAATTTTTACAGACACATCTTGTAAAGGTCCACCCTCCCACCACCTCCCGCCCCAGGTTTTGCTTTTACTCCCCACACTGATTTTGGTTGATAGTTTCTTCTCTAGTACTGGATCATTTAAAAAGCACTAAGAAGCATTCAGACTAAAGCCACAATGGGTTATTAACGCTAACCTTAGCCAGAATACCTGGGTTCTGTTTGCTATCAAACATTACAGTAAGTTTACAGTGACTACACAAGATTGTTTGTACAATGACTATGTTACAATGACTATGAAAAGATAATAGTAAGCAGAAACTTTTGCTGTTATTAATACTGACCACAAGCACAAAAAGACAAAAGCTGTGTTTGTAAGGCATGACTGAACATACAAAATTCCTTTAGAAATCATTGCATTTTCACTTTGCTCAGAATTTTCTATCACAAAATATCTCAGATAACAAAAATATGTTACAAACCCAGAAGAGTACATCTAATCTCATCTTACATGCACACCAAAATCTCAAACTGAAATACTTTCACAGCCCACACAGAGGCCTATGCCCTCCCAGAGGTCAAGGTCCCCTTCTCCAGTGGGCAGCAGGGACAGCCTGGCGTGGGTGTTGCTGTCCTCTCCCTGGGTTACGACAGGTACTTTCAAGGCAACTTTCCCCATATAGTTTTCCCAAGATCTAGTCTCCTTTCTAACCTTCCTTCACTTTGTACCTTTACCCCCCTCAGTCTTATCTTACACTGTCATCTCCTCCATGTGTCCCAAGGTCCTAACCTGGTCACTTCCTCCCCCACTACTAAACCCAGGGTGGCCCTCCCTGTCAGTAACTCCTCCTCTGTGTTGTTTTGAAATAATTTTAAACTACTGAAGAGTTGCAAGAATATACTCTTCACTGAAATTCATCAATTGTATAAACTTTTTATTACTCTCCCTCCTACCCATTTTCTCTCTCTCTCTCTCTCTCTCTCTCTCTCTCTCTCTCTCTCTGGCATAACAAAATACCATAGGCTGGATGGCTTAAACAACAGACATTTGTTTTCTCACAGTTCTAGAGGCTGAAAGTCCAAGGTCAGGGTGCCAACATGAGTTCTGATGAGAGCTCTCGTGGCTTGCAGACTTACACAGACATATTCTTAATGGGAACTCACATGGTCTTTGCTGTGTGTGTGTGTGTGTGTGTGTGTGTGTGTGTGTGTGTGTGGAGGGAGGGAGAGAGAGAGAGAGAGAGAGAGGGAAAACTGTCACCTCCCTCCTCTTCTTATAAGGGCACAAATCTGATAACGAGGATCCCGTCATTATGCCCTCATCTAAACCTAATCAACCTCCCAAAGACATCCACCTCTGAATACTATCACACTGGGGATAAGGGCTTCAGTACAGGACTTTTGGGGGGACACATTCAGTCCATAACACTCTCTGTCTTTCACCAATTTTTTCCAAAATAATTTGAGATTTAGTTGTAGAAGTGATACTCATTTATCCTCAAATACTTCAGATTTTTATATAAGGATGTTCTCTTGCCTAATTATTAAATTCAGAAAATTCAACACTGATATAATACTATTACCTAATACATGGCCCACATTAAAAATTCGTCAGTTGTCCCAATAATATTCTTCATGGTGGTCTCTAGCCTCTGCCTTTCCTTCCCACCTCCAGGGTCACATGCTACATTTAGTTATCACGTCTTTTTAATCTTCTTTAAACTTTGTCTACCATGGCATCTACATTTTTTTTTCTTTCTTTTTTTTTTTTTTTAGCTGAGCCATCCTGCCACCTGTTGGCAGCTCAGCAGCTGCTCAGCTTGGGCCAGGAATCAAACTGCTGTTGCTCAGAGCTCAAACTCTTGAGCGAGCTCTTAACCAACTGAGCCACTCGGCCGGCTCAACATCTACATTTTTGAAGGTTACAGTGCAGCTGTTTTGTAAATGTCCTTCAATTTGGGTTTTTCTGATGATTAGATTTGGGTTATGCCTTTTTAGCATAATTGCAACTTTAGACTTGCATAGGCTATTTATGCCACAAAGCAAAAGATGAATTTATCACACCCTTCTGATGGACTTCGATTGCTTCAAGGGCAGCTAACCCCACCTCTATGCTAAGAGGCACACATTTGATAAACTAACTCACTTTGAAGTATTAGTGACTGAAGACTATCCCCGAGTCAATAAACCTGCTTAGACACGACTGTATTTTAAAAGAAACATTTATTAACTCAAAGGATACAATTTTTTTAAAGAGTCACAGAGGCACATGCTTTTACTTGTAGGGCTGCTTTTCACACAGGCAACTAACTCGAAGCATGTTCAGGGGTGAGTAATGACGCAATTTTACCCAGAGTTACTTTGAAAAAGGCCCTCACTATGCAATACTGTAGGAGTAGCTTGCTTCCTATAATAGATGGAATGACTAACTCGCTGAAGCTGTTAATTCATCTTTAGTTTGTCTTAGTTTTGCTGAGGTTTGGTATAACATAGAAAGGCCTTGAAGGACTAGATTTCAGAGCAGATAAGTATGGGGTTGTAAAAGATCTAATGTTTGGGGAGAGAAAGCCCAGTCAAAGCCAGGCTGGTCTGGGGCACTCGGAGGCCCTATGAGCACACCAAGTACCCAGGTGAGCAGTGAGAGTACCCGAATAAAGGAGGGGGTCCTGAAAGGGAGGGGAGAGTCACATGCAAACCTTCCTCTGTCTTCCAAGTTAGCCCAAGGTTGGTCCTTTTCTGCTTATGCCCCACTAACCAAAAAGAAAGCAAAAAAGAGACCCAAGTTTCTTACAAAATATGGAGTCTCTTAATGAGGATTTCAAATACAGGTTTTATTTACACCTACCATTTTGAAGCAAGTATCTGTTCTTATGATGAAAATTTGCTATAAAGTGAGTAAAGGAAATATTTTTTTTCTTTTTCATCTTTTAATATAGTAAGGATGCATAACAATCTCTCTCCATTTCCTAGGCAACATTTCCAGCGTCGTCACGTTTTTATAGTCCTTTTAATTTTTTTTCTTTGTAGAAGCAGCAGCCCCAGCAGCAGCAACTTTTGCACATAATTCTTGGGAGGAACAGGTGTAAGACACTGACCACAAAACGAAAATTCTTATGTTACAGGCAAGATGAGTGGCACAAATAGGACGCAGTATTTTACAGAATGACTAAAGAAATAGCCAACAGATGCAATCCGTAGGATGTGTTACTTACGTTGCACCCTCAGAATATAAGTTTCCTAAAGCTGAATGAACTTATGTCTGTGGAGTTCTAGAGTGACGAGAACATCCGTGTAAACTTAATCAGACGTTTGAGCCTGGACCCATGATGAAAGCCTTAGGGAAAGTATATCATTTAAGCTAGTATCTATATGATGATAATGGGAGAAACAGTGAGGTACTTATCAAGCTAATTTGCACTGGTTGCTTTAAAAGTTAACCTTAAAGTACATTTATTACAGTTAAAAAGTTTTTTGGGTTAGGTAATTCAGTTTATGATAGCTTTAAAGTATTATCTATAGTCAGATGCCCCATAACTTTGTTTTGTTTTAATCTTTATCATTTCTTTTTGTTGTTGTTAGAAAACTGAGTAGATCTTGAAAATTATCATCATAAGAAAAACATTTTTGCAACTATGTATGGTGACAGATTAACTGGACTTATTGTGGTAATCATTTTGCAATATATACAAACGTTGAATCATTAAGTTATACACCTGAAACCAATATAATGCTATGTGAATTATACCTCAATCAATAAATAATAGTTAATGAATAAATAACCACTATCAACACCACTGCCAAACAGAGATTAAAATAAAACTTTCAGTTTTCTATAATTTCTTTTAAAGTTCACTTTGTGAATGCACCTTGCTTTGTACGTTTTCCAGTGAGTATAAAAAGGTGTCATTAATGTCTTGATTTGGTTGATAACAATCTCAATTTATTTCAATATTTTCACCATTTAGAAGAGAGAGCTGATCCTCCTGGCATCTCAGTATGGATAAGAATGATTGGAATCACCCATCTTAGGATTTTATTTGTACACATATCCTGCGATCATAAAAAGTTGGGGATAAGAATAATGTATTACTTCTCCTATTGTGCAAACACGAATAAACTATAAACCAGTATCTCCACTGCTGACAAGGAGAACGATTTCTAGTTAGTGGTGTTTACGATACTCAATCTTCAAATCCAATAGTTTTAATTTGGAAAAAAGAAAGCACAACTCTCATAGTCTTTTCTGAGGCACTGGCTTCTTTTGCTTCAGCATGTGTGGGGCTTCCCTCTTCCTTCTGCTTTCCTCAGATGAGCTCCCTCTCCGGAGTCTTCTTCTAGGGAAATAATGAGGAGTAAAGCGACTGTGTGGCCAAACAAATGGACGGAACTGAAAACGGTGGTGGCACTTTGGAGGGAGGAAAGGTCTGTTTGGAAACCCATTGTGGACTCTGGGCCATCGTGGTGGAAGAAAATGGAAAGTAATCTTGGGTCTCCTTGTGATGGGCTGGATTCTCGTCACTGGTTTCCTTGTGGTGGGTGGAGGAGTGAGAGTAAAGATCTGGCAGTCTGTAGGGTCTACATTATTTTGTCCTGTGGGGAGAAAAATACCAGTCAGGAGGCAGGCTTAAAAGCAGAAGGGAGATGCTTTAGGTGGTAACAGAGGAGAAAAATTAGAAGAGAGAAATAGGGAACGCCTCAAAGCTTGTTTGGAAGAACTGTCAAGGTCCATGAAATGAAACATGAACACACTTTATGACCCCGCAGTTGCACGCTGGGGAATTTACACAAGAGAAATGAGTGCATATGTCTACAAAAGACTAGTTCAAGAATGTTCATTGCAGCCTTGTTCATATTACCCTATACTTGAAAACAATGCAAATATCCATCAATAGGAGAATGGATGAACTGTATATATTCATATATTCATATGATGGAATACTATTCAGCAATGAAAAGGAAGAATTACTGATACAACAACGTGGATGCATCCCACAATGTTATGTTGAGCAAAAGATCCCATTTGTATAAAGTTCAAGAGCAAGCTAAACTAATCTTTGGTTAAAAAAAGTTAAAAAAATAGTTAGCTTAGGACTAAGTAGGTGTTATTTAGTGGAAAAATTACCCAGAGGACTCTTTAGATTTTGATCTGGGTGGTTGTTACATAGATATGGAGATATAGATAGATATATACATATGCAACACATATACACACATATACATTTATATATGTACACACGTTTATACACATATATGTATGCATGTGTAAAATGTGATCAATTTGTAACTCTAAGATTTGTGCATTTTATTGTATGTAAATTATAAATAAAATTAGTGGGAGAAAAAGAACTTCATGTTAAGAAAATAAAAACAGCTGTCCTCCCCAAAGGCCATTAATCCAAAAGGTCTGCCTCACATGCCTCAGTGCTGAAATCATTCCCTGAAGAGGCGGGGATGGGGCCTCTACAGGCAGCATGGGAGCGAGCACTGAGGACCAGGGTGAATTCAGCTTCTGAGAAGAAATTTGGGTCAAGCTTAAGTGTCAAGGTTTTTCTCCCCTCTAGCTGCATCATCTAATCTAATTGGCTATGAAAAAGTAAGCTTCCCTTTAGAATATTATTCCTTCACTCCCTTAGAAACTTACCAATATAGGCCTGGAAAGGGCTGCTGAGTATGAAGGATGGAAAAATGAACTCCCCACAGGAAGCTGAGAATACTGAGGCACTGAAAAAGAGCTAGATTTCCCTCACCTTTAGAATAGCTGACTTCCGGTTTCTTAGTTGTATTGGATATGTGTATTGCTTGCCTGTGTTCATAGCCCCTTCTAGAGATTCTGTTTCACCCACGACCCCTGGTAAAGTCAGTCCCACACACGTTTGGCTATGGTTTTGTTTGTTTGTTTGTTTTGTTTTTTTATAGTTGAGCCATCCTGCCACCTGTTGGCAGCTCAGTAGCAGCTCAGCTCGGGTGGGACTCGAACCCCTTTGGCTATGGTTGATTGGACCGCTGTTACACACTCAACTCACTCATTGGCCGGCCAGTGACCAATCAGATTCTCACTTGAGGGTTTCAACAGAAAGACGAAGTTAGTGGAAGGTATTTGTGGAAGGTGTAGGGCAAGGGGTCTGGAGTGTTAGGTTTTGGCCAGTTGAATGTTGGGTAAGCAGTGAAGTCAGTCCTTCCATAGAAATTAGAAAATGGGGAAGCCTTCTCAAAGAGAAAAAGACAAGAGACCATGATAATGAGCATACCCTTGGTTCTTGACTTTCTCCAGGGCTGGTCCCTCTCAGGGCTGGCTGTACCTAAGATTCTTGGATGTACTCTTATAGTAATTACTCCACCTCTAGCTCTACTCCTTTTTTTTTTTTTAAGCTGAGCCATCCTGCCACCTGTTGGCAGCTCAGCAGCTGCTCAGCTCGGGCCGGGAATCAAACCACTGTTGCTCAGAGCTCAAGCTCTTGAGCGAGCTCTTAACCAACTGAGCCACTCGGCCGGCCCTTCTACTTTTTTTTAAAGCTAGCTTGAATGGGTGTCTGTTCCTTGAATGAAATACCAACCCTTTCTCCTGTACCCACCCAGGCTACTGAGTATTGAAATTCTATGATTGAAACTAGATTAAGACATTTCCAACTACAGAAGATGATTATTTAATCCCACATTACTCATTCTTTCCTCCTACATGGTTAGATTCAGTTCTGAACTTTTGTAACATGAAAGCTTTCTGCTGAGGATCCAGCTGCTAGGGGAGAAGCTAGCCTTACTTTTAATAGCCATTTGACATTTTGCTATCAGATCAGACTTAGCTGGGCCTTGAACTCTGCTACCCCATTAGCTGCATGACAGCTGTTACAAACAAACTGATGCGTGTGCTCATCTCATTTCTTAAAACCTGAGGCTACTCTCCAAATCCTCCAGTTGACAATGGGGTGTTAGAGCTTGCTAGGCAGCTTTTCTCTGACTCTGGGATGTCCAGTAGTGTTCAGTATTCTCTTCTCCTGGGAATTTCTAAGGGCTCATGATCAGGATGCAAGCTTGTCCCAGTGACCAACCTAAGAACGTGGGCAGCACCACATAAAACCACATTCTTCCAGCAGACTAGACACATGGTGACTATTTCAGGTCACTGGTTGGCTAACATGGTATTCTAAAATGTGAAAGTCATAGGGATTGATTTGGGAAATTGTCCACAGGCTCCTTACAAAGTTAAGGCAGCACGTCTGAATAAGTGGGTGATGCCATTCATGGCTTCCAACGTTGGCTGAGTTAACACGGCTCATCAGTTCTTTTGTTTATCTTTGCTCTGCTTCGTTCCTACTGTTTTCCAAACCCTCCTGAAAGCCCCTTCAAAATTTTCATTCCATTGGAATCCACCTCTGCCTCTTCCACTCCACAAAAGCTACTTTGGCAAAAGTCATCACTGATCATGGGCTTTGAAAAAGTTTCCAGGTGCCTAGAGCACCATTTCCCACCATCTTTGCCTGTCTTATATCTATGCAGATTTCATGTCTCATTTCCTTAGGGAGGCCTTAGCCCTGAGGTTGTGTGAAGGCACTATGCAGTGTGCTCCCATAGCATCCTCTGAGTCCAGTGTCATAATACTCATCAGTCATGTGGCTACTATTCAGGGGTTATAGTCCTCCTCCACTGAAATATCCATTTGACCATCCTGTAGACCACTATTCCCTCATCCCCAGGACAGTGCCTACAGTAAAATTGAATTGGTTGGGAGAAATCTCAATTTTTATAATTGCAAAAGTTACTATGTTACTACCTCTTGGGGATAATGTGATTGTTAAGAAGCAAATGTTTCTCATCATCATAGTAACATGCCACCAAAGGCACTGAATGTCAAAGATGAGAGCTCTTCTGCAACCTTAATCAGACCAAAGTAGGTCAAATATTTAAATGCAGATTGAAACATTTTGAGAGGCAGAATAGCGTAGTGTTTAAAAATGTAGGCTCCAGAGCCAGGATCCCTGAGTTCTGCCATTTAATAACTGTGTGATCCTTGACAGATTCCTTAACTTCCCTGAGTCTCCTTTTCCTTATTTGTAAAATGGTGAAAATAATACTACCTATCTCATTGGCTTGTCCTACGATCTAAAATAACATACATAAAGTACTCAGAACATTGCTGACGCACAGTATGCATTTAGTAGGTGTTAACTACCATTATTATTATTATTATTATTTTTTTGGATGAGGACACACTGTAATTTTTTAAAATTATATTTTATTATGAAATACACATTTTTTAGAATTAGTTTCAGCTGTACAACACAGTGCAATAGTTATACTTTTTACCCCTCGAAGTGACAACCCCCTCCCCCAATCCACCGCCCCACTTCCCCCTGCAATATACTACCGTTATTATTAATCTTGAATGTTATGGAGTGATTCGGTTAGCATGATCTCCATTTTCTTGGGCCCATCTGGTTACATTTTATACATAAAATCTGTGCACTGTTGATAGGACTAAAGGTTATAGATGTTATTAGAACAGGATTTCCATGAAGACAGAGACCATTGACTCTGTTGGTCACTGCTATGTCCCTGGCACCTAGAATAAATAGTTCCTGGTTTAGAGTGGTGCCCAGTATCTAGTTGATAAATTGAATGAATGGTCAGGCAGATGTTGAGTTTTCCTCTCTGTAGATTTTTGTGAAGTTCAGGGGGTGTTTAATTCCAGTCCTAGAAAATTCACAATAACTTACGTTAACTTAAAATTAGAGTATAATAAAAAATTAGGCCAAAATATTGCTTAGAATTTGGATATCAATTTTAAATGGGTTTATTATAGTCTAGACATAAAACTCATGGCATTCCAACAACTAGTACTTTTTAAAAAGTAAGGATGAGAAGTCCTTTTTTTTTATAATTACCTGTAAGTCTGTGGTTATTTGGGCAGACAGTAGCTGGTTTGTAGTGAGCTATACTGATTTTAAGAGAACTAAGCTTCATAATTGATGTCTAAGTTCTTCCTTTACATGGTAAATGGAGTATTAGAAAAATTCTCATATGCTTTCAGAGTTGACTCAGAAAGAAATACAAATTCTGTGATTAATTTACTCACAACTCAATTTGATTTTAATTTACTCAATTAACTGTAACTTGGTTCATTTTGTAGACTCACAGAACTACTGGCTATCTTGGTCATTTATCTCTCATTTTTCAGGTAAAGAATTTGGAGCACAGAAAGTGTCCCGCAGGCCTCTTTCAATTCTATGCTATAAATCTAGTCATTTTTGACAGTGTGCAGGTTACTGTGTTAGGTGCTGTGGCAAATGCAGAAATGATAAAGGCCTGGCCTGAGCTTGAAAGTGGGGACATGCTGCAAACACATGGATGTCATCCATAGCAGAATGTAGTAAGTGCCATGGGTGATGTGCAAATTGTTCTACGTATTCTAAGATGTCAGAGAGAGACAGAGAGATTGCAGTTTTAAAGTTACGTTTCTTAAGAGAGCCCTTGTGAAGGCCACACTATAGTGACATTTAAACAACATCATGTGAAGCAGAATTGCAATAAACAGAGGTGAAAACAGGAGGAGAGCGGCCACACTCTTCTGGGAAGAGGACACAGAATGGGGTGCATTTGGACACCCACACATGACCCTGCCTGGCAGAGCCAGGGTATGTGTAAATGAGCTGTGAGCCGGAACCAGGGCTGCATGGGCAGAAAGAAGCTACATTTGAAGGACTTCAATGCCAATCTGAGCATTGCCAGTCTGACAGTGAGGAAGAGTGAACCAAGTTCAGAATTCAAATATCACATTTTAACTGGTGTTTTTTTTAGGTGTGAATAAACCTCTAATGTCATTATAACTTGTTTAGCTACACATTTACAAAATTTCCTGAAGAGTGGTTGACTTTCTGGGAAGAAGGTGTCAGGTGGCTAGTTCTGTTTTATGCTGTCTCCTTTAGATGTCACTTTTAGCAGGTGACGCTTGGGGGCCTTGTCTTGGGAATGAGGGCAGACGTTATTTGTAATCTCTATCTCCTTGCCCTCTGATCACCAGAGTTCATGCAGAGCTTGGACAGGGCGAGCTCTGGTGGTCTCTCCACCAGCTCTGAGCTGTCTGCCCCTCTCTGCTCTGTTGTGAGCTCTCGGGGATAGGAGCAGGGAGCTTGTTGGGGCATGACTAGAGCTCTTGCAAAGCCCCCAGGGGCATGTAAAAGGAGCAAAGGACTCAGTTTGACTCTTGGGTCTCCTGGGTTTCAGGGAGTCAGTTTGACTTCCTGAACTGGACCTAGTTCTAGAGCTAAGGAGAACTATGAAAAAAAATGTCACTCGCAGGTCCCCCAGGATCTCCTTCCTCTCCTTTTTCCCTTTCTCCTCCTTTCCCTCGCCTTTTCTTGCATTTCCCCAGGGATTTGTAAACCAATTCTAAGGTTCAGGCTACCTAAAAATTTTGTAGTGGGAGAAAGGAAAAAAAATGGGAACAGTAGAGAAATGGAATCAAATATAATACTAAAGAAAGAAATCTATGCTCATTCCAGTAGCACCAAGACAAAACTGAATAGATGTAATTAATTAAAGTAATTAGACAGAGGGTAGACACCCACCATGTGCAAATAAATTACTGTGCTGCTGAGGATGTAAATAGGTGGACATTGCTGTAATTCAGGGTGAAAATTGTTAGCTTCAGAACAGTAGTAACTAGTATTATTATAGTATAGTGTTTTAAGCTTGAAGAGTTTCCTCGTATGAGAGCTCATTGGGTCCTCACAGCCCTCATAATAATGAATATTATGATCACATCAGAGAGGTTAAGTGTGTCTAAAGTCACAGAGCTGGAGCTGAGACTAAGACCAAGGTCTTCAGATGATAAAATACTGCTTCTTTCTCCTTAACCACACAGGCTGATGGAAGCTGACATAAATATTTCCAATTTTTGGATAGGTATAATCATCGAGCCAAATTTTATCTTTTCACACACCTTATTCATTAGTGGGCCCATGGTAGAATAGAAACAAAACGCTTACCTTCTGCCACAGTTACCACCAGCCAGCAGACCAATAGCCAGTAGAAGAAACAGAGTCTGGGAGCCATGGCTTTGGACCTCCGCAGCCACTGCCTTGAGCCCAGCATTGCTTTAAAAGGGAGTTGGTGAGTCACCAGCAGCCTGATTCAGGTAATTTGCATTTGCATAGTGGACCACAGTGGTCAGGGTCTGTGGTGTGAGGGTAAAAGAATCAGCAAGGGAATACCAGACAGTATTTATCAACCAGAAGCTCCTGGTAATGACAGCCAAACATCATTCATCTGTCCTTGGAGTCAGACTGTGGACAACCGCGCCCTCCCTATCCTTTTAATCCCCTCAGATCTTCTCCCCTGTCAGTGCGTCCTCTTTACTTGTGAATTATGGGTCTTCCTCTGCAAGAGAAAGAATCTTTCCAGGAAATACTCAACACTGCTTCTCTCTGTGGAGCTTACTTACTTTAAAAAGCCCGACAGGAAGAGGAGGGCATTACCCTGATCCAGGCGATTTGAAGAGGCTGTTCATGGGCCTCTCATCAGAGCTTATGGCTTCTTCTCTGCTTTTGTCCAGGAGCCAAGGTCAGCAGAGTCAGAAAATTACCTTCTTTCATAGCCATCATGGCCATTGTTTACACAAACATGAAAAGTTTGGGAGATTAACTTAGCGAGTTTCCTTCCAGGGCCCCTTCTTATGCACCAAATTGCCAATAAGATGGACATGACACATCCGTGCCCAGTTTTTTTCCCGAGAGAAGGACTCTGTCTGTCAGCTGCTAGAGGAATGGGAGAGGGTGGTCACAAGTGATTAAGAGCATGGACCTTGCAGTTACAAAAAATTGGCTCCAACCCTGGTTCTTTTTCTTATTAGCTGGGTGACTGGGTACGAGTTCCTGAGAGTTGCTGAAGCCTCAGGTGCCTCATCTGTAAAATGGGGCTTGTTCTGATGAATAAGAGGCGATGGACATAAAGCTCCAACCATAGTGCCTGGCCTGTGAAAAGGAGTGGTTGTGGTTGATATTAAATCATAGTGATTCCAATTTTTTATTCCCTTAGGAGGTGGTACTTGCCAAATCATTCAATCACTTTGAGCAGAACTTTTTCCTGGGCATTACAGAATGTACAAAACAGAACACAGTCCCTAGCTTGGAACTGTTGATAATCCAAGGAGGGGGACTGCAAACTGAGAACCAAAATGAATAAGAATACAAACACTATAAATGAGAGAATGGTAAATTCCACAGGCTTGATGATAATCCTAAGCAAAATTCTAGAACCGATGATTAAACAGACGATTTGTCAGCAGTTTGGAAAGGAAGCAGGGATCACATGAAAATAGCAATATTTATAATACTTTTTGTGGGGACGGTGTCAAGAAATAGTTGTTGGTGACTGAAGGGGTCACGTGGTTCAGCCACTTCTTGGTATGTGAACTTGTTCCAACCAAATGTCCACCTCGATGGAATTATTCATTAGTTTTCTTTGGTCCAGTGTCTGTGTCTAGGTTGCCCTAATAAAGTTTTCAATACACTGTAGTGCCATATGTTATCACAGAAGAAACACTAGTCAAAGAAGGCTTTCCTTCTCCCAGGCTTGGAGCCCAGAGAAGCAGAGAATTTGGGACTGGGGCATATTGCTTTGTGAATGTGTACCTTGTTTTCATCATTCATTCAACAACTGTTTATTTAACTGTGTGCCAAACACTATTCCAGGGGGCTTGGGGGCGCATCCATGAATGAAACAGACAAAAATACCTGTCCTAGTGGGGTTACCATTCTAGTGGGATGGAGACAGAAAGTAAACAATAAATATAACAAAGGAGTATATTATATAATATGTTAGATTATGTTAGAATATTCTGTAATATGTGCTACATAAAAATGAAAGATAATCAGGGTAAGAAGTGTTGGTGAGTGTTGCAGTTTTAAGTAGAAGATGATATTTGAACAAAGGCTTGAGGGAAGTGGGGATGCTATCTATTTGGATATGAGTAGATGGGGGAAGAGTGTTTTGAGCTGAGAGTACAGCCCGTGCAAAGGTCCTGAGACAGGAGTAGGCTTGGCATGTAACATACAACAGCAAAGAGGTGGTAATAACTGGGTAGAGTGAGTCTGAGGGGACGGTAGCAGGATATGAGGTCAAGGAGCAAAGTGTCATTACTGTGAGTGAAATGCGAAGCCATTGAAGGGTTTTGCAGAAGTATGGCATGACCTTACTGACATTTTGAAAGGACAACTCTGGCCACTGTGTGAAGAATGGATTGGAGTGGGGGGGGCGGGGGGGGGGCAAGAGTAGAAGCAGGCAGTCCAGCTATATAGACTATTGCAGTAGTATAGGGAGGAAATGATGGTGACGCAGATTGGGGTGGTAGCAGCGGAGGTGTGGGAAAATAGGGAGATTCTGGACATATTCTGAAGGTATTATAGAATTGACAGGATTTCCTGGTTAAATGGAAGTAGGATGTGAGATACATAGGGGAGTCATGGATGACACCAAGGTTTTTGGTCTGAGGATTTGACTGCTGTGGTTGGACATGATCAGGTGGTGAGATTGTGGTTGAATTGAAAAATAATGTGATATTGCTTTTTCCATCAATAAAAACCAGAGGAGTAAAAATACCTTGGCATTTTAGTGAATAAATACTAGCAAACTTTACAGCTTAAGACAAGTTGTTAGTCTGAGGATTGGTACTGTGAAGTTGTGGGACTGGAGAGGTCAGGTGGTCATATGTGGGCAGTAAGAAGGACCTGGCTTGCAGCCTGGTTGGTGGTGTGCTGGGAGGTTCCTATGTCCTGAGCAGCTGTGCTCAGAAGGGAGAGACCGGACAAAGTGAGCAGGTGAGTGAGGCGCAGGTTCTCTTGACCCACAGGGGCTCTGGGTTCTCTGGCTTGCCCTGTCTTACTGTGGGTAAGCCCCTACATTGAAATTGTGCTTTGCATCTGCCCTCTCTCTCTTGGCTTTGAGGCCCTTAATGGTAAAAAAAAAAAAAATGAGTCTTTAAAAAAAATGTTTTTAAAGTATTAATTGTGATAAAGTGGATAACATAAAAATTACCATTTTAACCATTTCTGAATGTACAGAAGAACCGAGTCTTAATTACAGCTGCATCCTCAGTGCTCGGCACATAGGGCACTCAGTAAATAGCCTGGAATACATCGTGGTGGAGGAATGCCTGGGTGGGGGAAGAGGAGGGTCTTTGCCTGTGTGTGTGTGAGTTCATGCACCTCGTTGTCTGGCAAGTCCCTGTTAGGAGAGGACACAAGGGCTGGAAGGCGCTTCTACCCAGGGTCTCTAGCTCTCTGCCATATCTGTTTTTTGGATCTGAGCTCAGGGTAATTTTATCTCCTTTTCTTCTCCTCCTCTCTTCCGTACCCTGTGATGATTAATTTTACGTGTCTACTTGACTGGGACATGGTGCCTACTTATTGGGTCAAATATTATTCTGGATGTTTCTGTGAGGATGTGTTTTGGATGAGGTTAACATTTAAATTGGTGAATTTTGAGTAAACCAGATTGCCCTGCATAACATGGGTGGACCTCATCTAATCAGTCGGAGGCTTGAATAGAACAATAAATTGGCCTTGTCTGAGCAAGAGCAAGAAAGAATGCTGCAGCTGATGGCCTTCAGACTGGAACTGCAACGTCGGCTCTACCCTTGGTCTCCAGACTGACAGGCTTTCTGGAACCTGCAGATTTGGGATTTGCCAGCCTCCATAATCATGTGAGCAGATTCCTTAAAATAAATCTCCTCCTCTTTGTATGCACATCCTATTGGTTCTGTTTCTCTGAGAACCCTGAAGAATACACACTCACATTCTCTCTCATTTTCATGTACAATATATGCATGACGCTTTGTGGGTTTTGGGAGACAAGCATGTATGGAGAGACTTAATAAATCCAATGCTTTTAAATAAGAACATGGGTGTTTGTGGATAATTCAGGGCCTAGCCCAGTGCTCCTTGACCAGAGACATATGGGATGGCCTTAGGAATTTCTGGCTGGTATGTGAGCATTGACCTGCCTTTAATGCATATCCTTCAGAAAGATGCCCGTGAAGAGAGCAGCCCATCCCTGTCTCAGGACAGCCTGTCTTTCAACTGGAGGCTGACCACCTGTTTTTTGGGGAGAATCTCATGGTGACCTCTCTGCTTTGCTCCCCTTCTCAGTCTCCCTTACCCTCCTTGCTAGTGGTTTAAAAATGTGTTTGAATTTCAGTGAGCTCAAACTCTGAAGATACTGGTTTTTAATACAATGAAAATGGTTTTTGGTAAGTAATTTCTTGTAGATTCTCCAATTGAAATAATATAAATCATCCTTCTGTATAAATTGAAATGGAAGCAAGCAGCTTGAGAAGGAAAAAAAACAAAACAAACACAACAAAGCAAACCATGACCAGCAATGTTCAGAAAGGCTGGACTGTTCTAGCTGTCCATCTGCAACTTTGAGCTTTGAGGCCACTCTGCAGAACCTCCTTTCACATCCTCAAGGCCCCATCAGGATGTCTGCCTGCAGAATGGATCGGCTGCACCTTGCCTCTCTCTGTGGGATGAAGGCCCCATTTGGCTGCCAGGCCTTGGAGAAGCAAAGGCAAGCAACTGTTATGTCCAGTGAGGCCAGTCTCCTGTTGCAGGAACTACCTGTCTGGGAGAGGCATTCCCCTCACAGGGCTGGCCACGGTGAGTAATATGGGAAACTGCCATTAGGGCCTCGGTGAGTCAGGATTACGTGTGTCAGGTAGCATGGAGAGTGGTGAGCACCAGCCTGGCCCCTGAGTCAGGCTGAGAGAGTAGCGGCTGGCGCTGTGAGGCTTATCTCCCGGTGGCTCAATGGCTCAGGGTTCTCTGTCAGAAGGAAAGGCTAGATGCTCCTTTGGGGAACCTGAAGGTTCTGGGGTTGGTGCTGATTTGGAGGTGATGCTCTGTAATGGCCTGGATGACTCCCCTGCAAAACTTGCTAGGGCATCTTCTGCTGGGATTTCTCCTAAGGGGGATTTCAGGCACCTTGTGCATAGCTCTGACTCCCTCATTTTGCAAATCAGGAGACTGAGACCAGGGAAGATTCCTAAAGTCAGCCCAGTGATTTAACAACAGAAAGGCAATAACATCCTTGTCAGGGTTTGAGTGATGCCCACTACATGAGAGCCTTCATTTATCAGCGGTTTGAAACAGTATTAACCAGTGGGATGAATCAGTGTTC